AAAAGGGCTACCTCTAGAACCATAGATATATTGTGGTCCAGTGCAGTCAATGTTAAAGAGTGAGCTTGGAGTACCACCTGAGCTTGTTATGTTTTTGTATGTAGCACAGGTCTTTCCCCAACCAGCTGAAACCACAATCATGGTAATCAATAGGAACAAAATAGAACCAACAAATATTACGACTTGGAGAATCTTAGCAATCAACCTATATGAATGGTATGAAGTAGTAAGAAAATAAGCTACTGTACCACCGAACTTACGTTTTGACATATATTTTAAATGAAACACTGATTAGCTCAATGGCAGTTAGCAGAGCCAGACATATTATAGCAATGGTAGCACTTGCTATACTCAACTTACAAGTGGGTACATTATAATTTATCAGATCTGAGTCCATAGCTTGAGAATAAGAAATGAAAAAATGGCAAATTGCATATACTCCATTGTTAGTGTTAGCCTGAAGGAGACCAAGAGAAGTACCAGCAGCTCCCAATGACAGGAAGAGTATGACAAGAGAGGCAAATGAGAAGATCTGCTTCATATTGTCTGCACTAGGCATGATGGAATTTGTAATAATTATAAAATATGAAATATGTGCAGTGTGTTTCTTTATATGCATGTTGCAACCACAAAGCCACTCCCATTGTTTATCAACTAGCTTAATTCATGTTGTGAACTCACTACAGAAATTTGTGTTGGAGTGTTTATCCAGCTGCCTTAGGAGTTACCATCAGTTGCGGATCTATGGGGGGGATGCCTCCCAAAACAGGACTATGTAAACGATCTTTAAACCACAAAATTGCCCCCTCAAAAATTAAATCCTAGATCCGCCCCTGGTTACCATGATCATGATTATAGTAAGGAAATATGCACTTGTGTGGGCATGTGTATTTCTTCTTATTAAATGTATTTTGTGTGTATCCTATGCTTGCTAACCTATGCCATTGTTGCATAAACAGCTCTAATGTAAATCTGCATGTTGTATAAGCTTAACCACGAAAAGGTGTGCTATTATAGTGAATATAGCACACGTAAAAAATTTGAGACAAAATTCCATGTTTATTTGACACGTTTTTTGTGTGTATATCAATGCATAGATAATGGAACGAGGGGAGGATTGGAAACTGGATCACGTGCGCCACTTTTCACAGTTCGATGTGTGTTTGCC